ACCAACCAAAAAGCTAACTGAGGGCGGAGTCCTGCGCAAGCGCAAGCATCGTCCCTACCTAGGTGACACCATACCTGCGCACAAGGCGTATTGCTGGAAATGGTACACGGTCTTAACTAGAAAACGGAAATTATGCTAACGCTAACGGGGTTTCGTCGTGGCGAGAGCCTCGACCATTAGAACTGGGATCCGTTGCTGCTGATGGGAGGTTATCCCGTCAGGCAAGTTGTCCAAAGGAATTTGGTTGGTTGGATCTATTTGGAAATGGCTGTCTCTTGGCCTTTTTGACCATGCAGTTTCGTGCCATCTGTTGACGGAGTGAGTAAGGAGCTCCAAAGATATCCCAGAATGCAGCCTTCTTCTTACTCGTCCGTGCAAGAGCCAGAAATCCCACAGAAAATAATTTGATTTTTGTTCTTGTCTGTTTGACCTCCAACAGAACCTCTCCAGAACTATTTATGGCGGGACAAAAAACAAGTAAATTTTGAAAATAGAGGGAAATATTGTTATAGGTGCACGTCTCAAACAAAACGCGCCTCTCTCTCCAAAGAAATTGTGGGATTAAAATATTATTCTGAACGAAGTGTACCAAACGTAGCTAGCTCGGAACACAGGTCATTTCACAGCGTTTTACAGCAGTCATAACCTCTCTTCCATTTTGATGTAATAAAATGGATTATGTTATAATAGTACGTTGGCTGGTGTTCGATGTGTTTTTGCGTAAAAAAGATTACGTGGGATCTGTTCTGAAATATGGTGTGGGAATCGGGCTCTGAAGTCCAATTGGGGGAATTTTTGTTAAGGTTATCTGGAAACAAAATACACGCAACGACATTTCGGTGGGAGTCTGAGCCCTTAACTTCAAGCAGTTTTCCATTCTACCCAAAAAAGACATTTCGGTGGGAGTCTGAGCCCTTAACTTCAAGCAGTTTTCCATTCTACCCAAAGACAGAGCCAGCCCATCAGGCATGGATATTTTTAGGTCAACACATTTTACGACACCCTAAGATAATTCTTTTATATTTATTCTGCACCGAAATCTCTGATATTTTAGAACCCCAAAAGAAGAAATATATTTTTTAAGAAAACTGTTAACTTCTTTATCTAAATGCACTGACATTCAAATTACATTTCTATTAAATTTATATAAAGTAACTTATTTATGGTAGAAGACGCATTCCTTCATGAGTTACATCATCTCATGTAGAGCTACATATTTTCTGTAACTGTGTCCTTGAAATGTGTTAAAAATTGTCTTGAGTGTAGATAATATTGATGAATGATGAAGAAGGGTTTGTTTTCACTTTTAATATTTCAAATTACAGGCACCAGGCGGAGAACTTGAATGTTTGTAGATATGGGATGTCGACTTGTGTCATCAAGAACGTACCGAATGCAAGTGATTACGCCTACAAACACAGAGACAAGTTAATGGAGGAGAAACGTAAAAAAAATGTTGGATTGTTAAAATTAATAGTTTACAGTTGATTACAACCACGATGAACACATTAATTGTAATTAAGCACCTTACGAAAGAAATGAAGACAAGTGGGACTTGATGTAGGATCCACAAGGAAAATAAAGAGAAATATTGTTTGCAGCAAAGAATAAAAATTATTTTATTGAAATTAATTATTTTAGAGACGTTTAATGTTATCCGAAATGTTACTATCTATGAACACATAGCAGATTCTCTTTGCGTCTTGTATTAAATCCACTTGTGGCGACATGTTTTGAGTTACGAACCTTCTTCATGATATTAAGGGAAGATTAAATGTTCTTGCTTCATGAACATCGTTTACAAAAACTTCATTATGAAGGCAACACTCTGAGAATTTTGTACTGATTTCTTATATACGTGTGATATTTAAAAGAAATTAGAAATTACATTTGGCTGAGTAGCTGGGTAATTTTGCCATGTCTTTGGGGAAGTATCAACCTTTTCAAATGCCATGAAGATACAGACGATGGTTTCAGCTAACAGATGTATATATTTATTAACGGTATTTTGCAAGGTACTTTTAGGTATTTTAATGAATAAGTACAAATTATTACCTCAAAATACACAAAACTAGGAACTTGAATTTAGTTAAGTTACTTACAGAGTAAAAGAAAAATGTGACAGCTCTAATCAAATGGGGAACTCACAGAATGTTTCCGAGATAAAATCAAATAAGAATCAGCTTAACCGATCATAAGCCGGGGCTGGAAGAAGACTCTAATGCCGTCACACTGCCTGGTACTGGGGTAATACCGGACCATTAAGTGCCATTAACCGAGACGTGGTTAACAACACATTATTTATTCCCGCCCGAGCCCAGTATGTTACTAGAAGATGAGACATGCATATTTGTACTTTCAAATTAAGAAATATGAACACAAGGCTACACTTTCCGTGCAAACTTTAAAACAGAAGAGAGAGACTTTACTACATATAATTTTAGATTAATAGTTAGTTTCTTTTTCTTCCAGTGTTCACATGGTTTTTGCCTGCATGAGGATGTTTGGAATTAATGACAGTATACAAATGATGAAAATGCCAATTCTATATTGTGTTAAGAGAAGTAAATTTTAATAACTTAGTTAATGTAAGAATGTTTTGGTATTGAATTTGCAACATGAAGATGGCTATCTTCTGGGTTGATGCGCCATGTAGTCAGGTGGACATCTACTAGACTACACGGTGCAACAACCAAGAAGACAGTAATCTTTAGGCTCACCGACGCGAAAACCTCAAATCGTACATAAATTTGTAACATACAGTGAAACCTCTATCCATCGTTCCCGGAACTATCGTTTTCCCGGATGCATCGTCCGTTTTGTTCGGTCCCGAACAATTTAAATGGAACCTACCTTGTGGGAAGAGGAGATTTAAACCCCATATCTGTCGTCTATACCATGTACTAAGATAGGCTTTGTGGGATGAAACTGAGATATATGGAAGGAAGTCTGAAATGGAGAATTTGAAATTTTGTTCTCCTCCCCAGTATTGTCGGGGAGGTTAAGTCGAAAAAAATGAGATGGGCGGGGCATGGATGGGGCAAGAGGTGTGTATATACTGGGTATTGGTTGGGTAGTGGCTAAGAATTGAACCAGGAACCTCTGAGGTACATATGAGCCATGTTAACATTTGAAAGAATCTACACAGTCAGCTTGTAGAGGAGGCCTTCGACTGAGACCGTGTCAAAGGCTTTGTCCACGTCCAAGAAAACCGCCCCAGTTAGCCGCCTCTCATCAAAGTTCCTGTTTACCCTTTCAACGAGACGAGCCAGCTGCAGCTTCGTGTTGTGCCTACGCCGGAACCTAAACTGCTCGTCGCGCAGCAGTCCGCGTTCGTTCGCCTCGTGTAGGACCCTAGTTAATAGGATCTTACAGAGCTTTCCGACCGTGTAAAGAAGACTGGTCGGTCTGTAGGAACAAGGTAGCGTGGGGTCTTTGCCCGGTTTCAGTATGGACACCACGCGAGCGTTTTTTCACGCCGAGGGGAAATACTGCCTGCGGAGGACCGCGTTGAACACTTTCGTGAGGTAGGTTATCGTGGAAGATGTCTCAGGACCCTGTTCGGTAAACCGTTGGGGCCCGGAACCTTGCCAACTTCTTGAGTCTCTTAATAGCCTGAAGGACCTCCGAGGGTCTGGTTAATTTCGATTCACTTGACGTGGCATACTCGTATGCTCGCATCGCCTCGTTAACCATGTCAATAAATGTCGGGTCCGACGGATCGTCCACCAGCTGAAACTGGACCTCAAGGTTGTCGGCCAGGGCTTCCGCCTTCTCGGAGTCCGAGACAGCGCATCCTCCCTGCACAAGCAAGATGGCGACGGAGTGGTGACTCGCATCACCCGCTTAGCAATCTTCCAAAGCGACTGGTCCTCGCAGGCCAAGGATTCCAGCGCGTCGCTCCGCTGTTCGTTCGTCCACTCGTTGAACCGACAGGTCACCGACCTCTGGAGTCGGTTGACCTGAGCTTTGAAAGTGGGGTCCCTCGTGACCTGCCAGCGCCGCGTCAGCCGGTTCTCAGGCGTATTTCATCCCGAATACTAGCGGCCAGGGGCGGACGCCTGTCAGCGCAGGTTCAGTCAGATACACAGGTAGGGCGAAGTCTTTGACGAGGGCAATGTCAAGGACGTCGGGGGTTTCGTTGTGTGTGTAAGGAGCCGCTTTTGGGGAGGCCGGCCCGTATATCAAGCAGGAGTTTCTGTTATCCTAATCCCGTAGGAGCGAACCCCTCGTAGAGATGAGCCAAGAAATCCATTCCGTGTGCTTCGCGTTGAGGTCACCGGCCAATAGGACCGGGATATACTCGGTGAGGTCCGACTCCGTCCAGGGCCGCGAGGGCGAGAGGTATGCAGCCACGAGCTTCACTTTCCTGGTTGCCAGCATCGGGTGAATGGCATTTGCCTCCAGCTGCTGCACACCCGAGACTGGCACAGGGTTGTAAATATGGACCGACAATGGTAAGCTTTTATGTGAACACCTGTGTTGCATAACAATGTAATAAAAAGTATTCGAATTTCTAACCCACACCTGCAACAATATTGGCTGAGTATGCCATAAGGCTCTTTTCTCGTGTCTTATACATGCAGTATAATTGCCTGAATAAACAGTAATGCACTCCATTCCTTTGCCTAAGAAACTAATTGTTACGTCATTTGTTTACTCGGCATTGTTGTGTTTCATTAGAATATATTTCCGTCAACAATCGGCTTTCGTAATTGTGGGAAGAACTGAGCTGTAAATCGCTTGTAGAAGAAGTGCGTCGTAAACGAGATACTTTTGTTCTGTTAAAAACCTTTCAAAATCACTGAAGTGAAACTATCTTCCACTTTTTTTATTATTGATTCAATTGGGCATTGCGGGTGGACATCGTGGTCTCTTACTTTTGAAAAAGGTTTGAGGTAAGGGATTCCTATTTATTATTATTGCTCTCACATTTATTGTTTTCATCTGCTTTTATGTACTCTTATAAGAGAATTACGCTTTTCTTTCTAACACAATTTTAAGTAATGCTAAATTGACGTCTGTTTGTTCACGGCATCATTTATAATAAAAGAATGTTCCAGGAGGCAATTATCATTTTAAAGGAATGAAACGTGTTTAGTAGAATAGAATCTTAATAAAAATACATCGATGCTAGGAAATGGGGTATAGATTTGAATAATAATTCTAACACTTTACGTCACTTGAGACAGCGACATAATTAATGTGTTTTAGGGAACTGAAAATAATTTTTTTTTCGGTTTTACAAGCATAATTATCGACGAATCTCCCTCTTATAATAATCCCACAACAGCAGATTAAATCCGGGGAATGCTTCTATCACTGAGTGCAAAGTCTTTTGTCCTACCTTCTCATATCAAAAGAAAATTAAGATTAAAATGAACAAAAGCGTAGTTTTGCCAGCTGTGCTGTGTGGGTGCAAAACGTGGTCTTTCACTTTGAGGGAGGAACATCAACTGCGTGTCCTTGAGAACAGTGTTTTGAGGATGATATTGAACCCAAAACGGGTAGATAATAGAGAAAAGTGCGTGCCGAGTTTCAAGGCCTGGACTCCTCACCCGATATTTTTAGGTAGGGGCGGGCAGAGGAGGGGTGTTTACAAGTAATTGGTGGGGTGGCCTGAGGGGAAGAGACCGCTGGGGAGACCTAGACGTAGTTGGGAGGATAATCTCAGGCGGGATCTGAGGAAACTGGATTTTTTGGCCCAGGGCAGGGTCCGGTGGAGAGCTTTGGTTAATTCGGTGATGAAACTTCGGGTTCTGTAAGTCGTGGAGGTAGTTAGTTAGTTAGTTGTATCAGTCACATTTAGAGCTTTGTCATTTTGTATTGAATCTCAACGGGGCGTTTCTGTAACAAAGAAACAAACTTAGACCATGGAGCTGAAGTACTGCTTGAGAATCTAACAGTGTCCCATCTTATCAAATGTCTTGCCTCTTATGTTTCATGTTCGTGTTTACAAGACCCCGCCTGTAAACTATATCCTCAAGCAGATGAAATCAGTTCAAACCTTCATTCCCCACCTATCTAAGATCCATTTTAATATTATCCCAGCAACGCATAGGACTCTCAAGTGACCTTTTTGTTTCAAGTCTTCCATTTAAAATGTCGCATTCCTCGTCTCTGCCACGTGTACTCATCACCCTTGATCTGACAGCCTATAATTTAATAATTACTCAAGAGACATATAAAGCTCCATAATATGAAGTTTTCGCCATTCCCTTGTCAGTAACTCTCTCAGGACCAGATATTCCTCTGAGTACCGTGTTCCCTCTCTGTCACTCTCAGTTGAAATGCACACGCGTCAGTATGAAGAGGAACTTGTAACAGCGATGGACTGTTTTCGACGTAAATACGTCTATATTGAAGGGTCATTCGGCAAAAAAGGGGAACGAAAAACGGAAACGAAAAAATGTAACCTGGTTACCTAGGAAACGTCGTGTTTACTCGGTATTGTTGTTACCCAGGATACGTCAATTGTTTACTCGGCATTATTGTTACCTAGGAAACGTCATCTGTTTATTCGGCATTGTTGTTATCTATAAAACATTACATTACTTTATTATACCTTACCTTACCCTAATAGCCACGGTGGTCTAGCGGTTACAGTAACAGCGATGGAATGTTTTTTCAGGAGATGGAGACAAACAAACATCGCAGCTGTTTTCATGATGGGGGCAGGTGCACGTGCAGCAAAGCATTGGTCCCTCTGAATGAGCTGAGAGATAACAACCTCTTGAGTGACGCGGTGTTTAGGTTGGAGGACGGCGGCGTCTTTCGAGTCCACAGAGCAATTCTCTCGATGCGCAGCACATATTTCAGGTTTGTTTATATACTGACGTGGTTGATGAACATGTGAAATGAGGACACAATAGACGTCAATTAGTTTGTGAAATGTTATATCCCGTTTGTTGCATAAACCTGTACTTTTATATGGCTATTTGTCCTCTGTTATTTGTTCATTGTCATGAAATCTCACGGCGGTAGAATCTGATTGGCATTTCAGACGTACTTGCTGCCTTCTTTCCTTGATGATGGAAGCAGTGAGTACCTCTGAAACGTCCGACAATTTCTACGAGACCACACGACGCAACATCGCAGACGACGGACGTGGTTTTTGTGCTAATTTTTAAGTGCGGATGCACCAAGGTGACAGTCAATCGATTTGGAGGGAGAAATAGAATCAACCCATTTTCAAAACGTCTTGGTTTTAATGTATACAGACGACCGACAAAGTACAGATGCAAATTGGTAATTCACCTTCGTCGCGCCATTGTCCGGAACATTGGAAGCTGCTCTGTCTGAAATATAATAAACTGTAACGAAGAACTTGGCGAGAAATGTTTGATTGTTAGGTGAGAATCGTTCGAGAATTTATGCATTCGTTAATTTGCTTGTGTTTAAAATAAAGATGCGGTTAGTTCTTGAAATGAGAAATGAATTATAAACGTGATCCATTGATTCTTTTACGTTTCTCATGTCATGTTGCAAGCTGTGCCCCTCTTTCAGTTTTCCGACAATCAAATCTTTCTGTTTGTCTTGCACTGCAAAGCCCTCAATTTTTAATATGAAATTATTTGCTGGTTGGTGATCAGTTTTTAAAGGCCGTATAGAAACATCGGCTTTCTTTTAAGTTGTTTATTGTCGGGAAAATGTTTTGACAGAACAAATAATTTCATATTACGAACTGATCAATCAGTGGAATGTACAGCCTGTGATGTATGTTGAAATATTTGTGATAATTAGCTGGTTGGCTTTAAAATTTCTGTAATAGTTGTTATAACCTCAGATGTCTCTTGAAGGAGTCAAATGTATGTAAGAAACGAGGTAACCATTCTATAGAACAAATGTTCGCTGCTTGCTATTCGATTTGTGAGTTATATTCTGTTAAGCCTACGCACGCTCTTGAATCTCTCGCTGTTAATCTAATCCCATTAGTACACATTCTGGGAGTTTTTGAAGAATTCTGATTACAAAAATTCATCCACCGCGTTGACTGTAATTTTCTGCTCGCCGTTTCTCGAAATCGACGACTGCTTCGTGACGTTTCAGGCAACTCTTCACGACAACACTGCACAAAAGTGAGGAGACTGATATTCTCCTCCACGGAATTAGCTCGGACCTGATGACGCCGATACTAGACTGTGTTTATTATCGCGAGTTTGACATCCGCTCAGATAACGCGTGTCGGCTGCTCGTGGCGGCTGACCACTTGTGTATTCCGGACGTTACTGAACCCTGCTGCGACTTCCTGAAGGACACGATGGACGCCGACAACTGTATCGGCATCATGCAATTGGCAAGGTAATTTGATGTTCATTTGTCATTTGCTGTGACGCCAGCCTCCGTCGCTGGAGCGAATGAGCTTCACTCAGAGAGCAGCTGAGTGCCGGGTCTGAGATTAAAGCCTCTGACTGAGGACTGGGAGAATTATAATGCGTTGTTGGTCAGGGCTATTGGCAGGTTGTTATTAATGTGCCTGTAATTTAAATGTTCTGATTTAACTGCATACGTTTTGATCGTCATTATGACCAGCAGATGACTAATTTCACAATGTAGAACGTGAATCCCGACCTATTGCAGGGTCACAATTATTTCTGTCTTCCTCTCGAATTCCTTTCCTTATTTCTTTCTCTCTCTGCCAAAAACATTCCTTGCTTCTTACATAATCCTCCCAATATCAATAGCAACATTCAGCCCCACATCTTTCTGCACACAGTAAAATCTCTGTTAAACGACCCTCGATTATCCGATTCCCGCATTAAGCAACCGAATTTCAACCAGATCGGCTGCGATCGAATTCTACCGGCGAGAGTGTGTAAATCGATGTCACGCGGTACAGTTCATTGATCTGACCTCACAGCCAGAATTTGCTGAATATTATGAACACTTCAGGACATTTAGAGAATTGGTTATAATCGGGCAAAGACAAAAAAGAACCTGCTGGTTGCCGTAGAAGGAGAACCCCTACTCCTTCTTCTTGAGGACAACAAAGCAAGCAAATCATCTGACATCGGCAGGATCACACGAGAACATCGACGTCATGCGTTGGACAGCGACTCAGAATGACTAATAAATTCACTATCTTAATACAGGGACTCCCTCGAACAGCGCTCACGAGTGACTCTCTTGCTGTCAACATGTGCGTGCGAAACGCCCGCATCATCAGCCGCCTAGGAAAATGTGTATTGAGTCTTTACTTATTTTTCATTTCCATGATCACGTTCCCCTTCCTCTCGCTGTTGTCTCTCCACTTCTGCTCTCAGTCTCACTCATTCGGGCTTCAAAGGGCTAAGGTGAAAACTGGAGGCGAAATACTGTGGTGTGAAAATGCTTGAGAATTAAGTTCTTGCTGCAGTGTTTTATTGTGTCAGAGTTCGAAGGAGATCGGTTCTGAGTCGGATCTTACCCTCGCTGTCGCAGGTTTCACTTCTTCGCCGACCTTGAGACACACGCTCGTCGCTTCGTTCTGCGCCACTTCGTGCAATTGTCTCAGCAGAAAGAAGAAATGCTGGAACTGTCTGCAGAGGAGCTGCAAGCGATAATCGAGTCCGAGGAACTGAACGTGAAGGACGAGAAAGTTGTGTGGGAGTTCATTCTCCGGTGGATAAACCACGACCCGGGCAACAGGAAAGGCCACATCGTGGACCTTTTGAAGGGCGTCAGACTGGGACTCCTTGACGCAAAGTTTTTCACTGAAATGGTCAGTATGCCCCTGAAATCGTGGAAGTTTATGGGAAGTGAAGCCCACATTTTAAATTCCATTTTCACACGTGTTCGTAACTAATTAATACAAATCGTAAGACTTTTACTTCGTCACGTCTGTCCGCAGTTCCATCTCGAGAACGTCTAAGCGGATTTTCATTAAATTTAATACTGATGAGCTTTAACAGAATCAGTTGACACATTCCAATTCTGGTTAAAATCTTACACTAACAACGTGAAAATTTAGCATTGATTTTAATGCCTTATTCCGCGCAAATTTTGCTGCGTAAGAAGTCCCCATATTTCCTTAGTTTCCATGGCTACAATAACTACCTGTGGAATGGCGCTGGTAACGCGCTCGCATATGTGCGCGTGCGTGTGCGTGTGCAAAAACAAATATTTGATCCGTCCTTTAATGCAGAAATGTGGTTGGAGTTAATAATCGTCTTTTACTCACCGTCTATAAGCGGCCGTTGGTTTGACGGTCCGTCTGCGCTAGAACCTTTGATTACAGTCTCAGCGTTTATTAAGATCCCTTGCATGTTTCAGTTCAACCACAGCATTCAAACGTCCACTCAACTTGAATAGGAAAATCCCCCAACAGATTAATCACGTCTTCTGGCGCAGCGTTCTACTGAAACAAAGATCCTACTGCCATAAGAAGCGTATCTTAGCTGCTATAATAATTTCACGCATCTCCGACGATTATATATATAGTCAACCCGAGATCACTTCAGCGTGATGAGCCTCAGCTGATTGAACACACAGGGACAACAGATATTTAAAAAGTGCAGCAAGAAAGCCTCGTTTTACATCCAACAGTAAATTACCCGAAGGGCTTCAAACTCATAGACAGCTTGATCATTCCAATATTCTAACAACCACCACCTCACGAAGCAGGCATACAACTTACGATATTCTTTCTTCTACTTCAGCATGAGCTTTAAACCGAGAGAAAAAAATGTTTCTACTCAAGGTCAAAAGTCCTGTGCTTTCAGCCACTCACCTCTTATGATTACGTGTGAAACAATCGCACGGATCCATGGAAATGTTAACTGCTTCAAATGTCTTTACAATTTATCATTCGTATCTTATAGATTCGAACCACCTGAAGATGACAAATTAAGGTCGAAACATGCAGTGGATCTTCATAGTCATCGAGCCCGTAATCACACATTGTTGTGTTGACGGACCTTGAAGCCAATCATCGGCATGCAGCAGTTTGCCTCCATTGAATCTCGAAGCAACTAATTGTCATAATTTTTTTTGATGCTACGTAATTTTGACGATTAATTAAGGTCATCGAAACAAAAGGAATGTGATGATCGCAGCGTGCATCTCGCACGGGAGAGACGGGAAATAAGTTACATTTTTGAATGTAACTCAAAATGCAACTCTTACTAAAGTATTTAGCTTTTATTTTAAACACATTTCAATACATTTCTCTCTGGTCAATTTAACTTTACCATCCCTTCCTAAAAGTTTATAAGGTCCACATTGAACTGTTCAACAGGTATCCAGTCACCCTTACGTGACGCAAAATGAGGACTGCAGCCCCGTGATCTCCGAGACGCTCACATTCTTCCGCGACGTGGAAATGATGAAGAAGGAAGACAAGGAATTCGTGACACCAAGGATTGCCTACCCACGAATCCCACAGGATTTTCTGCTTGCTGTTTGTGGGCGTAGGGACGAAAGCCCGACAGATGTGATCGAAGCTTACGACGCACGAGCAGACCGATGGAGTGTAGTGAGTTACACAAAATTCTACTCTTACCGTGCCTTGTTAAATGACGCCTCAGATAATAATAATTTTCTTCTTTTTTGCTTATTTTTACTAAGTAATTGTTTATTTAAGCTTAATAAAAAGGACCTCTTTGCCTTTTTCGTGTTTATGTACCTGAATTGGGGTGAACCCCTTTTTTAAAAGAAGCTTCAAAGACATGAATTAAAAAGAATGAATACATAAATTACACAAATGCTGAGTCTCATGTGAAATGTAATTTATAATAGGAACTACCTTAGGCATGAAGTTTGCTTTAAATATCATTTACAATAAGCGTCTTACATCAACTGTCATGGCAACCTGTTTGCTGATTTTAGATATGAAACGAAATCACCGTTGATCATCAGTGGATTTCATCGTAATAATTGAAGCACTGATGAGTGTCGATGTTGGCCATCTGAGTGGTAACGCCGCCTGAATTAGAAGGCTGGTACACTGTTTTGGGTGGGGTGGGGGACGTACTGCCTCCAGCTTTGCGTCGATAAAACCCAAAACACCAACATCAGTCTTCACCATCGTACAGACCTGAAATGTCAACTGTTGTTCAGAAGTTCTACTTTTGTCTGTCGTATTTGACGAGAGCACTGGTAATGTTTGAGCTTCTCTTCGGGTCTTCCTGTTTCCCCAAGTTAATTTCTCACGGTCTATGTCGAGTGCGGTAGGCCCGGACACCCAGCACGGTGTGGCAATTTCGGCCCACTGTTGGGGAATGTACCTCTGATCCGGTGGTTGGTGGCTTGGACCCTAATGCAAGGACTTCACATTAGTAGACCAAATGACCCAAAGTAACATAAAGCCATAACCTGTCGTTCCTGCAGGTAGCGGATGTCGAACCGATCGGACCGCGAGTCAACCATGGCACGGCAGTAGTCGGTTTCGACATTTACATCATCGGCGGTTTCGACGGCGTGGAAGTCTTACGCTCATGTCGCTGCTTCAACGCTGTTACGAAGACAAGGCGCGAGGTGGCGCCTATGAAAGCTCGAAGGTAAGATGCAGAGCGATACTAAGGAATTCCTTGGAGCAGAGTCCTTGTTCAAAAGCTGATAGTCGCTCTGTTAGTCAAGATATAAATATATCACTCACATACAGGAGGACATTTGCGACAATTTTGGTTGTAGGTCAAACAGGAATAGAAGCCCATCACAGACAGCGTTTGTAGTTTTTCCAGGTTTTAAGAATGTGATTTGTTTGTTAATTCATTTGAATTATGATTTAACAATGACGAGCGATCAATTGCTTTCTGCAAGAGGAAATGAATCTCCATCAGCAATATATGTGCATAGCGGATCGTGTAGTTTTCTTTCGTTTCAGACGCAGATTAAGTGTAGCTGTTCTCCGAAATGCAGTGTACGCCGTGGGCGGTTACGGTCGAAGTGAGGTTACCAGTACGGCGGAAAGCTATGACCCCAAGACGAACCAGTGGTCTTTGATCAATCCCATGAACACACAGCGATGCGATGCAGCAGCGGCTGTGCTGAATGGTACGTAAGTTCTGCGAAACAGAAATGTGTGAATTAGTGCAGAAGGCGAGGCGTCTGTCTGTCTATCCGCGTGCCACAACGCAAGAACGGTTGAAGGAATCGCAGGATATGAGGTTCTCACGGTGGCGAGTACAAAGATGGCCGTCGTTTGGCTTTTACCGACGTTTCAGAGTAACTTTATGCCTTCATTATCAAGGCATTCCTCTTCGCTCTTTAACGTAGTTTCCCTCATTCCAATAGCCAATATTCTTTTATTATCCCTTTCTTTTATCCGTGCTACGTACTACGTTATTTCACAGACTGTGAAGGCTTGAAATTCTGAATAAGTGATGGATTCTTCTGCTCTTTGAAGCTGTCCCTGTACATCGTCCTCTACCTTTGTTGTGTACACTAGCAGTGAATGCAAATAACCACCAAACTATCAAACTGGCTCTAACATAAGACAGATTTATGAAGTTTTTGAGACAGTTAATAATCTCACGCAAATAACACATTATATTAAAAATGTAAACACCGCTTGACATCTCTGACACCAAATTTAATCGAATTTCTTTTACAGAAGATGCGAAGTACCATCATTTTGATTATGCATTAATTTAAGCACTTCATGTTGTTTATATTAAATTTTAGCAGTTTATTTTCATCCATTAAACTCATTTCCTCTGACACGCTGATTGTGTGCATTCAAAACAAAGAAACAGATGAACAGAAACAGCCGTGTCCGTGCAGTTGCTATGACACGAAGGGAGACATTAGATACTATGTAATTAGTGGATTTACAGATTTAAGTATGGATTGTCCCATGTTTATGCTCTGCATGGACCAGTTTAATGCCTCTGTCTTCATCAAATATGTGTACAGTTTGTGTCATTTTGTTAATTTGTTTTTACAGACAAAATATACGTCGCTGCTGGATATGATGATCGAATTTTTCTAAACTCGGTGGAAGTTTATGACCCGGACACCAATCAGTGGACGTTCGTTGCACCAATGCGGATTGTACGTAACGATGGTTGTTGCATCGCCTTCCACGGCTGTCTGTACGCCCTAGGTGAGAATTCTGGACGTTCTGAGTGTTGCTCCTCTATCATTCTTACAGAACTACTGTTGTGAAATGTATTCCTGGTTGTCATTGAGTGACTGAGATTTTTTGAACAGCAATTTTATCCCGTCTTTACAGAGTAACTTTTTCAGTATTTTTAACCCTGATTCGTGGTTTCGATTACATTCTCCACAAAGATAATTAACTAACTAACTAACAGCGGTTAATCTCAACCAAAATATGCCCCATTTGTCATACAGTCCCTGTTTGAAAGGTAAATATTTTGTTCTTGTAGGAAGGAAATTTCCGTTAAGGAAGGAAATTTCCGTTTGCCGTGCTATTATCTCAAAATGCAGGTGGTTTAAAGCAGCCCTTTCGCAGTCTTAGTTTTTCGTCAATTGCTTGTGTAATGCCGTTTTCAACAGTTTAGCTTGAGCTTATCTTGGACGCTATTTTCGCACGCAGTTTCATGAAGCAGAAAACAGGTGTCAGGTGCAATTTCCTGATGCTATAAGTACGAAAATAATGTAGGTATTCGATACTTAATTTCGTTCCTGGTGCTAATACTAACACTACAAAAGGGAATGGATTTTCTTTTCTGTATTTCATTCATTACATCCGGTTACGGAATTACAAAATTTAAGAACTTAATTTCCGTTGGGTCCACTAGACCACCGAGGCCGACACATCTAGGAAGTTATAATTAGTAATCTTTAAGAGAAGAAATCACTTGTGATACATAGGCGTAAACGAAAGGATGATATTAACATATTTTTAAGTAACTGGAGTAAGTGGAAAGGGTTCAACTTCCGACTTTTGTGAGTACGGTAATGAAATTTGTGGCTCTAAAAAAGGCCAGATATTTCGTGGCCAGTTGACAGAGTAATAAATATCGATGCTTGTGATTAGAATAAGTTTCGTTTGCCAGCTTTTCTTTATGTACTGTGAACTATTACGGAATGTACGTGTGTGTATGTGCAGGAGGATATCGCGGGATATCACACGAGCGCATTGCAGAGAAGTATAACCCCGAAGAAGACACGTGGACCGATATCTCTGACATTGACTTCGAAGGCAGAATCTACAACGCAGAAGTCATCGACGACACGATCTTTGTCATCGGTGAATACGAAAGATCGGTCACCACCTTACATGTCAAATGTTTCAATGACAAGGAAAATCGATGGTTTGTTTCTTTGTTTGTTTGATTGTTTGGGACCGTATAATCACAAACTGTTACTTTCGAAAAGCACTAGGAAGTGAACCAGTTCCGGTCGACAAATCCGCGATCTTGCGGATGCTCTGCCGTGTAGTGTCGTAGAAACTGACCGACGTGTCAGAGGTTCTTACTGCTTACTCAGGGCCTTGAATACAACGAGCAAAAAGTGGGAGAAAGAAAGGGGGTTGAATGAACGCAGGCAGGGCGATGTTGCAGTCAAGCTGAATCGTTAAAGCAGAGAGCGAGTGACTAGGTAATGATAATCAGACATAAGCTGTAACTGCGTTGATAAGAAGCTGTTAGAGTAAGTTTCATTGATCAAGGGCATTTTCTTGGGCAGGAAGTTTCTAGCGTTCAGCACATCAGCTTCGCCATAATCATCGGCTTTCATCAAAGTGTTAAGCCAGTTTCAGGTTTAACGACGCCTTTCCGTCTAATGTTCCCATTTTTGATGGAAGTTTATTTGGAAATGAGAGAGAGAGAGACAACCACCAACCAAAAAGCTAACTGAGGGCGGAGTCCTGCGCAAGCGCAAGCATCGTCCCTACCTAGGTGACACCATACCTGCGCACAAGGCGTATTGCTGGAAATGGTACACGGTCTTAACTAGAAAACGGAAATTATGCTAACGCTAACGGGGTTTCGTCGTGGCGAGAGCCTCGACCATTAGAACTGGGATCCGTTGCTGCTGATGGGAGGTTATCCCGTCAGGCAAGTGTGCTTTGTCGCGTGATGGGCTACCTTTCTTATTTGGACAAACAGCTGTGCTGCAGTCTTGTCTCCGAGGCACTACAATTCTCTCCCTCGGTTCCACGCATAGCGCATGCGCTTTAATGTCACGTGACTGAGTAAAGGATCACAATGGAGTAAGGTACTGACAACCTGCAATAAAAAGTTTCAGGTGAATTACGCTAACTCGTGCGTTACATGCCACTTTTAGTGTCCGATGCTTCACCCCGGTTCCCTCAGTCACGGTAACCACTCTCAGGGTTTAATCCATGTTTGTCTACACAGCGTATCAGCCCAAGGCAGAACACAGGCAAATGAGGGATTGTGGCAATGAATACGGTGATTAACAAACGTGCTCCGGGCGGTATTCGACCACGCGATCTCAGTGTAAGGCAGCGGCCAATGCGATCGGCTTAGTCTACATGTTAATATACCTTCTAAAACTATCCAGTTTGTGCATTCAAATTATAATGAATCAGGTTCTAAATCCTACAATACACTTGAACAAAACAGGAAATCAAATAGTTCAACCAAGCATTTTTATAGAGCATTAGAATCTTCCATGCGTGACAAACACCCGAATCTCTGGTATGACGTCCACATTTCTCTTAGAAGTCGTTGTGAACATGGGGCTGATAGCATCAGTTAAAAGTAGGTTGAAAATATGTTGCACAAGTTTCAAAATCACTTAGCGTCCTCTGGACGAAGCCATTATGGTATCAGCTAAATGTGCGTTGTTTAATTGAACGACAGTCTTACGTCTTATTTACTTTAAAGAACCAACTAACAATCTTCGTAAAGTTTGGTGAAGAGCCTGAAGTTCTCATCTTATTGTGCGCTGTTGTGATAAATGAAAACAGGGCCATAAATTCGAAAGCACTGGACCCTAAGATCTGTTGATAGGTTTCTATCTCTGCTGCTTGAGTAAAACAGCTGCACATTTGCCGTGAAATGTCGCCAATAATTTAAACTCGGCTCACTTGAAGCCCGCCCCCTTTAAATTGTTAAGAAGAAACGTTTTCAAAGTGGTCGTTAAATATGTTCCTTGTCTGTAAGAATGCCTACTTACAGTGTTTTGAACGTCTGAGCCAATTATAGACAAAACCGGTACAAGTGAAGTACGCATGCGTATATTTAACGACTATAAATCTTAATTATACTGCCCCAACCAACTCACATATATATAAGGTTGTTTTGTAGTGGTCTGTACTCCCGCTTCTTATAGTAAAGTCCCCAAGTTCGAATCTCAGTCAGGAATCGGCTAATGCGAATGTAGTTTATCACGACGTCCCTTGGTGTTTAAGGAAAATTTTGAGAGCGCGTCATGAAAGAGGCCTTCATCACCTGGTTCCATGTCTTTGACAGAGGCTGCTGTCACAGGAACATGCGAATAAAATAAGATCAGTGCAGATAACACTCAGCTCTTTCTAAATCCTGACCGACATTTCAGAGGTGCGCACTGCCTACATCATCAGGGCGCCTTAATGATGGAGACAGTAAGCATCTCTGGAACGTCGGACAACTTCTACGAGTCAAAATGTCGCAGTACCCCATTTTTACACTCCCCGCCGTAATAACCTTAAATATCAAAAAGGCAACATATAAGGGCTGAAGATGGAGCCGGTGTGTTCGTCCGAAACGTTGCGTCTACATACACGACCACACGGCGTTTCTACGCAGAAGACCAGCCGTGAGAAAATTTCCCGTCCGTTAACATCTTCCTGTAAATGTTGGTTCCGTTCACCAGTCAGACAAAAAAATAGTCCGGACATTTTATCCACAGCATAAATTCGTATATCCTCGCAATTTACTGCGGAGAGAACGAGGGGGAATATTAACATAAAATGCAAATGATTTTTTAGTTCTTCGGCCTTCGTTTTGCACTCGTCAAAGAAAAGCAGGTAAGTGGGCTCACTGAGTCTTGTTCGTATTCCTCCTTAAATACCCAACGAGAAAATAAGAAAAACAGAAATAAAAGGAGCAGAGAAACAAGAAAAGTGTCAGATCTCGTGAGTTGATACACTAGTGCCTCACATCCGTTGTATGTGACTAAAAATACTCCCTACTTCCCATCTTGAGAATGTGAAATGTGCGTGCGGGAGGGTACTGACGCCGTCTGCTAGCTGTAGTGGGGCACGTAGGAGAACAGCTTTCTCTGTACTACTAAACACAAAAACATCAGTGCAGATTGAATTACTTACAGCTGCTGATGAACATTTTACAAAGCTTCTATTCCACTTAATTCCCCATCATATTCTTCTGCAACTTCTTCCTCACTACTGCTACAACTGTTGGTATCACTGTCGTCTTGTAAATTAACTATAATTTCTTCCGAAACGTCGTCAATAACAGGTTCCAACCGCAAGTAATTCTGTCCGCACTGACGGGATTTGTTGCACCTCGAGCTCCATTCTTCCTTTGTGATGATACTAAACTTTTCCTCAGCTAGTTTCATAGCATAATCTAGACGGAAACTGACATTCTTTGACCAATCCCCATATCAGTTCTATTGGATTAAGATCTGGGTGACATGGCGGCAAGCGAAGGACAGAGTGGCCATGTTCAGCCAATAGAGCGTCAATTTTGAATGTTTTTAATTGTGGCTTACGCAGTTTAATTAGAGAATACAATTCGGGCTTACACATTCCGTCACTGAAAGGAATGCTGCGATCTGAAAGCCAGTCGATCATAGCACTTTTTCGGGATGAAGAAGTTGGAGCCGGATTAAGTTGTTCTGGGTCTTCTACAGCTACGTTTCGTTGAGTTCGGCAGTAATAGTATTTCCATTCTTCCTGTTATTGTCCGCAAAAGGGGTTGGAGTGGTGAGGAAGAGGAAGACGACGAATGCGAGCCCGAAGCTTTGCCGAGTTTTGCCGAAGTACACGCTGCATTGGTGAAAGTGAAGTCGTTCTTTTATGCGCTTAATATTAGTGAACGTGACGAAGAAAACATTTTGAACGTGGAAAGTGCTCTGTTTGGTCTAAAACGTAAAGTTTCAACAAACCAGTTGTCCATTAAAGACTTTTTTGGTAAAAAGAAGTAACTTTGAAAGAGAAACATTGTTTTTTTTTAAATGTTTAATGCTTTCCCGCATCTATCGTTTTCCCGCATTCATCGTTTTTATTTCCCACCCCCGCCGAAAACGATGCATCGAGGTTTCACTGTATTTAGCTTTGAAAGTTTATCTCACAATCTGTGTTACTTGTTACATTTTTGCTGGTTAAGCCCTAACCGATGGAAACAATTTAAATGGAACCTTGGAATGGGTAGAGGAGATTTAAACCCGATATCTGTCGTCTATACCATGTACAGAGATAGGCTTTGTGGGATGAAACTGAGATATATGGAAGGAAGTCTAAAATGGAGAATTTGAAATTTTGTACTCCTCCCCAGGATTGTCGGGGTGGTTAAGTCGAGAAAAATGAGATGGGCGGGGCATGGATGGGGCAAGAGGTGTGCACTGGGTATTGGTTGGGTAGTAGCAAAGAATTGAACCAGGAACCTCTGAGGTACATATGAGCCATGTTAACATTTGAAAGAATCTACACAGTCTGATTGATGGTATGGGAGGTAGGAAATATATTCCATGGTGCTTGAATTTATAGCTGACCAAAAAATTCTATGTCTATTATCATGGGATCTGAAAGTTCATTGCCATGTTCACAACATTGTGTCACTGAATCCAGTCTTGGGCAAGTTGAACTCAATCCGCATCCTTAAATCCTTTCATAAGAATGGCTTATATATTATGTGTCCCTTCTCTTCAGGCATTCTGGCTAAGATTTTGTACATTTGTCTTCCCCATGCAGTCTACATGTTTCATCCATTTCATTCTCTTTGATTTCATTGCCTTCGTAATATTTCACAGGGTTTACAATTATGAACCACATGAATGTTTAATTTTCTTCATTCTTCTGTGTCTTCCTGTCTCTGAGATCCAAATTCCCATGGAATTTTATGAAAAAAGGAAAGTTTCACAGAATGAACTGATGTAATGGTGAAACCATAACCAAGGGACTTTAAGAACATTAAAAATGAGTGTAAGAACCTTGTTCTTTGGAATAAACATTGTATGATATTTTACAAGCAGCATCAGCATCAATAATGTATACATTCAGTGTCTTCAAAAAGACATTCTTAATCACTGTACCTGAATTTGTCTTTAAACCTTTCATGGTGGCGTTTAATTGTACTGTACGCCATTTCAGCTGTGAACACAACTGTAGCTAGAGCAAGACCAAGGCTTAGTATTACAAAAGCCCCTTGTAGGTGGTCAACCATAAGCTGTGTGGGTCCCTCTTTGTTGCTGAGAATAACACTCTGCTTGATAGCAATCTGAAGGCGCCGTGACATGTATCTCTCGGTCATCTGTTCCTCCCAGAAGAGCATTATGCCTGTCTCATAGAGGCTGCTGATTATTTGATTGAAGCTTTCTTTATATGGAGAAGATTTTCTGGTGGCAATTGTAATGTGACTGCCATACATCATTTCCTTCATGATACGCAGTGTCTGGATGGCTGTCTCATTAATGTGAGCTGGCACAGAGTAATGATCTGGAAAAAAAGTGTAACAATAAACAATAAATGGAAAGGATTTATGTTGGTAAATAATGGCTCTGGACTCTGTGAAATGTTTATCACCAGTGGTATTTCAAGGCACACAACTAGCTCCATGGATAAGGTTCGTTGTAATACTAGCATTGTGTACATTCCTAGGTCTCCCAAGTGATACCATTCCTTCAAGATTTTTTGATTAAATTTTGAACTTCCCCATGTGTGTTAATTGTACCACACATCATTCCTTCTGATTTTATCACTCTGATAGTATCTGGTGAAAAACATAAAATGTAAAGTTTCTGTGTGTAACCCTTTGTTCTGATGTTACATCCTTTCTGTATGGTCTGTTGTATACTGATCATAACTTCTTTCACACATGCACATACACACTCAATTTATAATCTTTCCTTTGGTTGAATGACCAGATTTTCATATTCTTATAAAACAATATGTAAAATTACAATTGTATGCATTTTAATTTTTAGACATTGGTTGTAAGGCAGAAAGGTGATCACTTCTGAGACTGAATAGTAACAAGCATTCTGTGTGGATATAATTTTCATTTGTTGCTGTCGTTACCAAATATGTGTACCTTACCACAATTTTGGAGGCTTTGCCATCTTATCTAATTACTTCACTTGGTAAGAACAGCAGTGGACTTACTACTGGCGAATTTCTCAAGGGGGAATGCTGTTTCCCCTTGTGTTGACAGCTCTGTCATCTCCTCCTCAGTGAGGACCTGGAAATTGTGCACAAGTGTCTTCGAGATGGGATCGTCAGAGTCCAGCAAGGACCACACCCAGGCCTCATGAATGTTAACCCATGGAAGATTGCTATCTGCAAGTTCCTTCACTGTATCTATTGGATGTTCATATCTGCAGCAAATAACAGTGTTTTCTCTTGAGTATAATTGCAATCTTTCTTTTCTGAAGTACTTAAAAGTGAAATATGTACCTAGCAATCGTTTGTTGACATCAAAGATGAAGAATTTGGTAATGGCTGCTACAGAGTGAGAATATGTGACCATAACACTGATTGTTTCTTCCTTCAACATTTCGTTATTGAACTCACCTGGGAACAGTGAGAATTGAAGCAAGGCCTCCACTATACACACTTGAAACAAGGAGAAAGAAGATGAGCAGACTTATAACAAAGCCTTTTATTGGTCTGTGACTGGCATCTTGAGGCTCTGGTGGAGACTGAAGAACAAACATCCCCATTGTAGTCAAGAAGCAGTTGATCCATGTGGCATATGAATTCAGTATAGCTCCCCCTGTGAACAGATTTTATGCAGATCTGAATGTAATGGTGTGGTAATACTGGTTTCACTTCAGATTCTCAGAAATTTTGCGTGCGTTTCTGATCTGACCTTGAGTGTTACATATACCATGTACGTCATTCTCCTTGGTTTTTATTATCCTAATACTCTGGTATGTGTCCCGCGCGGTCTGAGGTATCATGCTTCAGACCGCCGATACGGAATGCGCGCTGGTTCGAGTCTCGGGGGAGAATAAATTTTCTCATGAGATTTTCGACCGGTGTATGGGACCGGTGCCATCCCACCATCGTGAGGAAATTGGGGAGCTACAGTGAGTAGCGTAATCCGGTCAGGAAAGCTAGCAATGGCTGGGGGTTCGTCGTGCTGACCACACGTCACCCTATTTCTGGTTGGATGATCGTTCATCTCTGCTTAGGCATGTGAACGTGAGGCCAGCAGCCAGCTAGTCGGCTTCGGCTGTCAGAGGGCTGTTACGCCACGGAATTTTTAATGTTCTGGTATGTACTCAGAAACATTTGGTGGCAACACTATTATAGTTGGTGACCTCATTTAATTTATACTTCATTTACATAATTAATTTGTGAGTGATGTGTTGAAACAATACAATGTGCCTGTGTAAATGAATGCTACATACCCAGACATTTGTTTGAAGCTTTAGCAAGTGTGTAGAAGACCACTGTTATGATGAGAATGGATACACCTACAGCAATCCACATGACTGCAGAAAATGGTAACCATAGTGACATCCAGGATGGTAACAACTTGGGTTTTGGGACCAGGCAGGTTATTCCAGAGGATGAAAGTGCAGTCGTGTAGTCTGTCCAGAGAAATGTTGAATACCAATAGTACAGGCCTGCAAAGCCAACATCTACCTGGTCCTCTGCTACCATACCTGTCAGAGAGATTTGAGAAAGTTTCATTAACATTCTATTATGGTTGTGTGAAATTAAAATGAAATTAAAATGAAATTAAATAAGGAAGCCATTTAATGATTCTTTGCATTTGGTCAGGAAGTGGTTACAAATTGGTTTAGTTGCATCAGGATAAAAATGTGTTTCAGATTCTCAAACAGTTTAAATCTCTGCCCCAATTGGAAAAATATCCACCAGAATATTTTGACCAAAGTGTGATTAAGTTATTGCATCTTCGAAGCAGTGACCACCCGTTGTCATCGGATGCGCTCCGTATCTGAGGACCGTCTTATCCACCAGCAACAACCTTCCGTGGTGTCAAGGGACTCTGCCAACATCCTCAAATTCTTCGAAATTACGGCTTGCTGACATTCAGTTCAGCATATTTTGTCTTTTCATCGGCTCTCCAAGACTTAACGATTAATATATACAAATTATGGAGCCGACGTAGCTCAGTCGGTACTGGCTACGGACTGGGCGACCAGGGTTCGATCCCCGACGGGGGCAGAGGATTTTTCCTCTAGCCTCTGCGTCCAGACCGGCTCTGGGGCCCACCCAGCCTCCTCTACAATGGGTACCGGGGTCCTTTCCCGGGGGTAAAGCCGGCCGGGGAGTGATGCTGACCACTCACCCCCATCTAGTGCCGAGGTCAAGGAAGAGAGGAGTTATACCTCCAATCACCCCAAACGCAAACGCCTACATGGCGTATAGTGGGACAGCTTTACTTTACTTTACTTTACTTTATATACAAATTATAATTTTACCTGGTGTTTTGTATGGATGTCAATTTTGTCCGTCCCGTTAATTAAGGGAAGAGTGTAGATCACGGGTGTTTCAGAACAGTGATGAGACTCGACCTAACAAAGAGGAAGTAACGTAACAAAAAGGCGGAGAAAATTACATAGTAAGGAACGTCATAATTTTCTTCACCAGATGTTGTTAGGATGATCAAGTTACAGAGATTGAAATGAAATGAGCGTACAGCCTGCAAGGGAGAGATTGTGATCGGGAGGCTTGTTGTGAAGAGACCGCCGGTTACAACTAGGCGCTTCGAGAGAATGGTATTGAAATAAATGTCTTAAGTTAATCTGGTCCAGTGTAGGGACGTGTGGTAGACTGTTGTGAACATTGTATTCATTCCTCGGGTTTCATAAAAAGCGGGGAATTTGATTAGGTGAGAGACAGCTTTTGAAGGAAGCCCCGCTGTGTGGAATTCGTTATTTAAAACGATATACGAGGGTCGCTCATTAAGTAATGCCCCACATTTTTTTTCTCAGCCAATAATGAAGATAGAAAAGTGTACTTTTACATGCTTGAGATTTGATGTTTCCCGCGTTCGTGTACGGATGGATACACCACTTTGAGCCAGAGACAAAAAGGCAGTCAATGGAGTGGCATCATCCTCAATCACCGAGAAAGAAGAAATTCAAGACAACTCCCTCCGCCGGAAAAGTCATGATGACTGTCTTTTGGGACAGTGATGGGGTCATTCTTGTGGATGTGATGCCAAGAGGTGCGACCATCAATTCAGACGCGTACATCAGGACCCTGAAAACCCTCAAGAAGCGTTTTCGACGAGTTCGGCCTCACAAGCATCCAGCAGAAATTTTGCTCCTGCACGACAATGCACGCCCTCACACAAGTCTGAGCACCCGGGAAGAAATCACCAAATTGGGTTGGACGGTGCTACCCCATCCACCCTACAGTCCAGATCTGGCACCCTCCGACTTCCATCTCTTTGGGCCCCTTAAAGATGCTATCCGCGGAACAAGATTTGAAGATGACGAGAGCGTGATTCAAGCAGTGAGGACATGGCTACGGGGACAGGACAAGAGCTGGTACCGGCAAGGCATGCATGCCCTTGTTCCACGCTGGCGTAAAACCGTACAAGTTGATGGGGACTATGTGGAAAAATAGTATGTGTAAAGGAAACATTGATTTATATTGTCACTAAATTTGAGCCATCTTGAATAAATATGTTCTGAGGAAAAAAATGTGGGGCATTACTTAATGAGCGACCCTCGTATTTCTGGGAAAAGAGCTATTTTTATATTTTTTACCTACTACACCATTGCCACTGCCGTTAGACCAAACAGCTCCCCAGAGATTTTCTTCATCCAGGACAAGCTTCCAAGTAAAATTAAGTTTCTCTGCACATTCGATGAACGTCCGCATTTCAAAGCCGTCATAAACGGTCGATTTTTCTTTATCGTGAGTAATAACAGTAAATGGCACATAGTTAAATGTAATGACATTCACTTTCCTGCCTTCCAGGTTCCGAATTTTGTTTGGGAACAAATTAGTGCGTGTAAGAAAACCAGTATTCTGGCAGTCGGTAATCCAGGCGTCCAATACGATCTCACGTGAAGGAGTTTGACCCACGAACTTCAGAGTTACGATCTCTATTACACTTACATTCTGCGGTATCCTGTTTAGATTACTTGCATGGCACAGGTTAATAAATCTGTTTGCCAGTTTGCCTTCCATGCCCCACTGAATGAAACATTTCGCTGCCATTGTCGTATTATTAGAAGGTACTTCTGACTGCTTCTTCTCATGTCGGTCTCCTATGAATTTAATTGTAATATCAGTGCTCGAATTCAAGATACCGTTGCTTTCGTAATGTTTGTTTTTGGAAATCATATTTTCATACCTGTGTTGAATTAAATCTGATCGTTTTTTAGCGTTTACAAATCTTGCAACGATTAAATCAGGCATGTAATTCATTTCTTTCATAGAGAATACATTTTCTAAAGATGGAATTTCATCTTCAAGTGTCACTGGGAGATACAAGAATTTCTTGGAGTATCTCGTTATCGCTCGGCGAGAGGTTCTAGCAAAACTGTGAATTACGCTTCTCATGTTACGCACTTGGACTATGTAAGGTTCGCAACCTGCGTTCATTGTTTCAGTCAGAAGTCTTTCAAACAGTTGCGTTTGATTTGTCAGTTTTGTCGAGTCCAATATGTCACTGTCTTCTATTTCCTGTATAGTAGATCCGATTCCGCCTATTTGTATGTGGAATATTAATATTGATTTAGGAATATATTTTAATATATCTGCATTCTCTTCTGTTATGACGCATACACACTGACTGTTAATAAAATATCTTTCTGCTATGTTATAAACCATTGGTCCTAATAAGTTACTAATTGTACCGAAGTAACATCCCTCTGTGAAATACATCGCGTAGCCTGTAGGCACCATGCAAAAGCAGATAATCCAAAATATAAATGTTGTTTCGACACTCATTTCACTGCGATTAGCTGCTGGTAATTTATAAGGGATTTCGGTATATTTATTCTATACTTGCAGTGTTTGAAGCAGAACGTAACGGTCTGTTTAATTATATTTCATTTCCAGGGCCACGTTGTGATTTTATTACTCTATTTGTTGGCTGTTTCTGCTGAAGACAGTCACTGTAATGATGTCTTTAACTATAACGCTGGTTTACAAACAGTTAACACAACCGATACCCGAAAAATGATCATGCTTTCGGAGAACACTTGCGGTTCACGGTTTGTGATTCGTTAATTTCTTTTCTTATGCGCTGGTTCCGACATTTAGATTATCTTGTTTCTTGACATAATTGAACTGGGCTACTATTTAAGTCTCCGTTCTAACTTTCATTCAATTATGAAAATAACCAATAAATTTCTGAGAGCATGCCTGTTCTTGTTATGAAACGATTACGTACGCATTCGATGTCTTTAATCTAAATGATGTTTACTATGAGAATTAAAACACGCTACATTAAGGGGAACCAAACGTATCAGATGAATCTTCAAGAGCAATCATAATTACGATCCCATTATATAATTTGATTTTCAGATACGTAGACCTAACAATTAGGAATTACTTTGATGAATGACACAGTTTGGAGTTTACTCTACTGTTCTCAGAATTAACAGATTTATTCTTAAATACAGACTATAGGCTTATTTCCACAATTTGTACGTTCTCTTTACCCGGTATTCTATCAACTTTTCAGTGGAAGAAAAAATGTCCAGAAAGTAAACATTTGGTAGACTTAAATTGATAAAGGATGTCGTAGAATACAAAAATCACGTCGAAACAAATCTGTAGGTGTTATAATGTAAAGACATTATGCACTGTACTTCTGTGTGCTTCAGTGCAAAATACTTGCTGTAGGATTATATTAAAGCTTTAGCATCCGAAAGTCCCCAGATTACTTTTTGACAGTTTGTGGCAGTGATATTTAAAAACAGTCGTAAATTCATTACGCTACTGGAAGCTTGGCTACGTAATGTGACGATTAAATTGGGACGAAAAACTTCCGAAAGTAGCTGGGAAATTATGTTAGTTGGACAGTTAAGAAATGTTATTTCCTAGCTGACCAATCAGGAAGGAGGATTAAATGTGCCTCGCATGTGGCTTTTTCAGCTTCCTGGACAGCACAGGAATATTACCGCAAACACAAAACTTTCCAGACACACCTGTGCTTTTTGGACTTGGTCTGACAGGATGAAAAACTGCTTTTGTGTTCAACTTAATTTTAAACCAACAAATTCTTTGTCCGGATTGATGTACATTGAAGATTATAAACACATTATAAATGACGTCTACAATTTAAAAATGTATTTTAAAAGTAAGCAGTGCACTGTAATGGAGTTTGTAGAGCATAAACAAGAAGCTCTGATTGTACTTAATGATTTCAATATGAGCCCCATTTGTGATTCTGTACGCAGATGGGGAAACATCGAAACGACAATCAGTATAATTCCAACATTTACAATCAAGTCGTACTTTATCACGCGTTTTGTGTTTCAAACTTCCGCATTTCCAATCCGACTCCTAAAAGAAAATACACGATATTAATGACGGGTAAAATATTGAATCTATAGGACGTTTCTTCAGTCACTGGTTCAAGGGAACTTCTCGTAACTTGCGGGGTTTTTTGTGTCCGGTATGTTACCTGTCTTTCGTATAACACAGCCACAAAGTTGCGTGGAAGAGGATTATAGCCCCGAAGGTCTACCTCCGCTGACGCAATATTCACGTTTTCAACGAGAGTTTTCGTTTTCTGTAGTCTGAACATGTGACTTCGTTTTTCTGTGATCGGTCCGCAGCTGTCGAACGAAGGGTTGTATCGTGTCAGCAGTGAGTGGCGTTGTGAACAGTTTTATATTACAGTTCGGCTTGTTTTCGTTCCAGATTTCGTGCCAGTGTATGTTTGCATTAATACAAATTTAATTTTTAAAGCTCCGTATCAAGTTTGTAAATCAGGCATATCCTTAAATAAGTAGGACCGGACACTAGCTTTCATAGTGCGCAGTATGCGTGTGAAGAAGAATGAAGCAGACCAAATTTCTCGGAGAGTCGAGACCTAATAGTCGAAGTATGTGTCGTCATAAGTCGAGTGTTCCAAGGATTTGTGAGGATGATGAAGATACAACTTCAGCTGTTCCATTGGAGAATAATAAAACAGCAGGGTATGTTTTATTTGCATATATATATGTGTGTGTGTTTAAAGTCGTGGGTGTTATAAACACACCCCATTTGACTGCTAGATTTACGTAGCCTTTTGACTCAGATCCTCACACATAAGAGTCGGAGCGCAAACATGTGACGTCGAAATGACTCCTCATTGGCTGTCTTCAAATATCAGGATCCGTGAATCCTATAACAGCACCTTATCTTGTAGTTATTTATAAAAGCAAGAATTTTGAAAATATTTGGAGGGCATCATGCCAGAAGGGGCATGTGTGTATGTTCGGAGATATTTGTCCTAAGAACGTAAAATTGTGGAGTGTAGCCAATATCATCTCTAAACAGGGATACAAAGAGTTACATTTCAGCGTGTGAATAATTTGTGAATTATTTGTCAGAACAGTAAGCGTAAGAATGTAGGTTCCTTTGAACACACTGGTTTGTTGATACGCCCTTCTGATATGATGCCTTCGATTTAAATTAAATGTTAATTTAGGATGATGGCATATAATGTTTATTAAGAAAGAAGGCGAGGAGACAAAAGTGATCTTAAGATGTGATACGCAAGACACAAATTATGTAGCGATAAGCCGAAATAACTTTAAACAAGGCGAGGTTCAGCAAAATTTCAATTGCTTGGTTCATAAAATACGATCCTAGTTTAAAATGTGATTGTCCCTATGCAACATTCATTACACGTAATCAGGCTTGCAACTGTTCATGGCAAGACATTGTTCTTCAGAATCTGAACGTTCAGTAGAATCATTGAAAGTAATTCGTGAATGCTATACACGTATTAAGTAATGGAAACGGCACTTTCCACCTAAGAGGCTATGAAAGACCTTTAGAGTTTAAGCAGCGAGGGAGAACGGACTTGCGTCGACTGAATAAGGCACAATTGTTCGTAACGAGACACTAAAAAATGCTCGTATTTCTCGTATCAACAAATACGGACTTTTCAAGTCGATTGCGTTCCCTGTCAAGCAGGCTGCTGTGGCAGCAGAACCTGAAGCTCCTTCACCCCCAATGAATCTATCAAGGCCAGCATTTATACACGTTCAGCTCCGATCACCTCCCAGTCTATTGTGGGATTGTGTTCCTCAAAATTTCTTCAAGCAATAATTTAAGTGTTAGTGTTCGCAACGGATGGCATGCTTGTGGCTCAGAGCAGTGCCTTCCGTCTTGCGCAGACAAAATGGAAGAAATAATAACTATGTTGAGTTAAGACCACGAGAAGTTGATCTCTCATATGGCCAAGAAACTCTTACCCTTTTGTGGGACCCCAAGGTTCATTATTAAGTTCACAAGATTCGATAACGGAGCGTATTCTATTCTCAGGAATAATTTAATTTATTTTTATCTTCGACCCGGTATCCCAATTTGTCTCTTCCCATTTGACTTTGAGCAACACATCGGACCACACGGCATGCAGTATCCTTGTAATGTATCACGTCAAACGTGTCAATCTCATGAACAGGTACACACGAGGTTGTAGATGTTGGTTTTATAATCGTTACTGGCGGTTTAAACAATATGAATTTTGCATTCAGTTTGGAGTGCTATAAAGCACGTTATTTTGTTCGCATGACCAATTCCTGGAAAATAGTTTATTTACAACATGGAAATACTCAGTACACTGTATAAACTGAAACGTATTATGTATTAACAGCGCAAGTAACCCTTATACCTTACACATTTACGCATTGAACTTTAAACGTTAAGTTGTTTGAACTGCAGTGGAAGTTACCAGAAAATACGGAGATCTTGAATGCCATATTTATCACATTTCTTTTACAAGTGCGTTATTATGGTTTTCCAGAGGAATAAGGAAGGTTGGAATTTATGAGACGAATGGTTTCATATATAAAATATCATTACATCGAGACTGCATGGATCATATAAGATGGAGTTAATGGGTACACAGTTTAGGCCATTATTAATTTATTAAAATAGCTTATCTCATAAACATATATGAAATATTAATGTTTAAATAATCAACCCTTAAACATTTTAAACTTTTTTCGTTTTGTAGAACAGTGTGTAACTCTGCGGAGAAGCTGATAGTCGCTCATATGGCCAAGAAATTCTCGCCCTAGTCTGTAGGCCGAAACTTGACCGGGGAAGTTTCAGAATACGAACCACTCAGTCGCACAGTTCAATGCGACTGCTGTTGTCTGAAGTTAAGTACAAATAAGAGCGAATGAAACGTATTCGGAGAAATTCTGAATAATATGAAATGGAAATGTATTTTGGAAATATCTTCTTATATATATGTATATATATTATTTGTTTTATCAGACGTCAAAAGAGTTGTGCAGTATTAACAGTTCTCAAGGTAAAATGCATTCCTGTTTTGTTACAATTTCATTGAAGTTAGAATAATTAAATGTAATCGGAATGGAAAATCCAGTCACGCAGCCATAGTAACACAGTGTGGGTGACCTAACAAAGGCGTGGGAGGGAACGATACCGAAGACCTAGACGTTAAAGTTTCAAGCAGCTGATGTTGCATTTCATACAACAGTCGCTGTAGCTATCACGCACCGACTAATTCATTCATTTCTGTAATTTAATTTTCTCTTTGTGAAATTAATATAATTTGCTGGGCCTGTAACCGTGAGTCATGCAGTTCAATGAAAGCTTCTACTTACATTGCAGCATATCAACTCAATTTATAATGTGCAAGTTCTGACCTACAATAAGTTACGAAAATCGAATGCTGTTGAAGTAGACTTCATTGTGAATTTCAGCCGTTTCATATCCAAGTAATACAAGCGCAGGTCGCTGATTATGAAGCTCCTAGAAACGATTTCTTTTCCAGCCACGAAGTTTTAAATGCAAATATTTTCTTCAATACAACGTTTCCTCGTACTTTAATGTTAATTAAACGTACAAGCAACAGCAACTGGCTAGTTTCAGGCTTATAAAGAGCTGGTTCATGTTAATAATAATGTTCTTAAATTTAATCGCCATTATACAGCTGTTACCGACATTTAAATCTACATTCAAGGAAATGATTCATTCAGTGAATGAACGAAACATATTTCGGCGATAATTTCACCGTAATCACAATATACTACGGCGGTTAAGTAGTTTATACGAGGCTCGTCCACAAAGTAAGTTTCCCTGGGGCCGTTTACAGAAACAAAACACAATTTCATGGAAATATTTATTGCAACAGATACAGCAAGTGTCCAGCTATTTTTCAACATATTCGCCACCGGAATTGAGACATTGGTCATACCGTGGGACCAACTTTTGAATACCTGGGTCGTAGAAGTCTGCCGCCTGGGATTGGAACCACTGTGTGACAACCATCTCCGCCTCTCTTTCATTCTCAAAACGCTGACGCTGACGCTGACCGGACAGGAATTTCTTGAGGTGTAGGAAAAGATGGAAATCACTGGGAGCGAGGTCCGGGCTGTAGGGTGAATGATTAAACACCTCCCAGCTGAACTCCTGCAGGAGACTTGCTGTCCGTCGAGTCGTGTGCGGCCTAGCGTTATCACTGACCGCACTTCACAGTCGGCGGGAGCTGGAATAAGAACCTCCATCTTCAACAGCTGCAACGATGCTACTGTGAGAACGCGGGAAGTTCCGTTAGTGCATGCGCCATGCTACGTCATTGCTCTATCACGTACGCACAGTCGCTTCGCGCAATATAAGGTTTGCTAGCTGTGGGACGAATGGGAAACTTACTTTTGGGACGCGCCTCGTACATTTCGGCATGTGTTACGTTTGTCGTCAACAGAATGTGTAATGGTCTGCCATCTGTGTACAGAGTGAGCATGTCTTCTTGCTGGCTGCCGGTGGCTGAGTGTCAGTCGGAAATATAGAAAGCTGTAATGGAATCTATGACGGCCGGTATATTTTTTCGCATTGCTAATATATAATAACTTTGTTTTTTGAGAATCATGTTTGAAGCTAGTTTTCTCAGAAATGTTTGGGCCAAAGGTTCAGGAAGTAACAGCAGGCTGGAAAATATTGCACAATAAGAAATTTGGGGTACAAAGGAAAAATTTCGGCCAACGGGCAGTGAGAACTACCACTTTATTAAGACCACCGACGAGTTTGAAATGGTTTAAATGGCACCGTTCCCTGTAGTACTGAGGTATAAACAACCTTGCTAACGTAAAGCGATGTTAGGTTTGGGGTAGTCGTTCAACCGCCACCGAGTTTTCTGTATTTCCTTTATTAAAGTGATGAGTTGCTAAAAGCACCGAAAGTGTGCACATGAGAATGAAATACGTTACAGTACTCTTCAGAAAAGAGTAAAAGTGGTCCAGTTTCTTCTCCTAAAACGAGAAGGAAATCTGTTCAAAAATTTCACTTAAAGTTCTGATTTGTTGGATTTAATTTGTTTTCAATGGACGTAATGTAATGCAATGACGGTCAGTACGGCGTCTTGAAATTTATTCTATGTAATAGTGACAGCGAAGAAAGACGTCCCGATGCTAAAATAGTAGCAATCACACTCCAGGCGTCCATTCTGAAGTCAGCCACTTTGCTGAATGAGTTATTAATCTCGAAATCGCAATCATGACCCGATTGCAGATAAATTACATTATTAATTCTGCATCACCTATCAACAATTCGATACACATTGCTCAAGATGTAAGTAACAATTTTAGTTTATTAACGTTAATGAAATTTTTATGAGTAACTTTCATAAACATATAAAAATAATGTATGTAACGTCCTTCTGTATTACCAATATTCTCCATTCTCAGTACCTGACATGGTTGCTAGACGGTCCACGGTTGATTATTTCCTTTGTATTCAGGAAAACGGAAATATTTGTTAAGAGAGTGCCTTAATAAGTTTTGTGTGCTCAAGGCCACGGAAGAACTTCACTCCCTTTATCGTGTGGCTCTAAGTCAATAATGTTTCTAACTTTGCTACTCTGCGATTTCTGAGATTTCTTCACTCGCTGGGCCATGCTATTCGTGTTGAAAATCTGTACGACTTTTCTGTGACCTTTAAGAATGCAGTTTGGTGACGG